ACTGAGGAAGAATGTTCACCTTTTTATTCATATATGAATTAGGGTACTAAATGAAATTAGAGCGCTTTGAATTGTATGCTATTTAAGTGTCTCAGTCAAAGTTTGTATGTTTGCGTTAATTTTAACAAAGTAATGAATTATTTAATGTTGTCTAACACTTACAGTTGTCAGGGTACTGCACTGCTTTTTCTGCTGCAACCCAAAAAAATTGTACAACCTCAAGTTAAGTATTTAAAATATACAGGATATCGATCTCCAACATTTACAGTATCTGTCTGAGTAAAGAAAAATGTGAGCTTTACGCGGTTGCAAGCTTGGTTTTTCTGCTCCACACGCAGACTGTGAAATAATAATTCTTACCTTTATAGCCTAGGCAAGTTGCCACTTGATAATTTTTACCGCTCATAGAAGAGAACAGTGTTTAAATGCCCTGCAGCTTTAATTCGAATTGCATAAAAATTTTATTTTTGGCAAATTTGTCAATGGGCACCAATAATCAATGATTTCGCTCTGCTACAGTCTGGCAAATAAAGACATCATATTTCTGTTCAATCACAAGTAGCCATTAGATATTTTTCCAGTTTAGGAAAAGAAAATATCTGAGAATTCCACTCGAATTAAAGCCAAATCTGATGTTTGGTAGCTTTGTAAAAGCCAGCCAAAAAAATGACGGTTTACACAACTCTCCAAAAACAACTTGAACTTGGACAACAACAACTTGGACCTGAAACTTTCAAAATGCACAGATAATTTCATAGTCTAAAAAACAGTTGGGTTTGAGTGTTTGATTCAAATGGTATTCAATTCGAATTTGTACGATAGCTGTAAATGCTGGTAGAGAACTCAACGTTTTCTTGAAACTGCAAGTTCTCCGATAAAACCTTGCAATTTCTAGTATAACACAAGTAGCTTAGTACTTAATCTTCTTGCAGTATATAGGACACAATTGAGTCTAGAAAACCTGAAAATTTCATTTAAGTCCCACTGAATCTTGATTTGTGCAAGCATTGTAAATTTTAGACTAAAAAAAAATTTCTCGCAACTGCGAAAGTTATATTCTAGTCTAGGGCAAGCAGCAACTTGAAGCATTTACATGCCACAGAAGACACTTCAAAAACACTTGATTCACTTGATTTTCTTGCTTAAAAATGTCATGAAAGCATTCACGAAAGCTTTATGACTCTTCAAAGGAGATAAAGCGACTATTGCTCTCTAGATGTAAGATCCAAATCGAAATCAAATTTAAGTTCCTCATGTTATAAAACCCGCTAGAGAGCAACTTTCGTCCAAATATTGCTTTTACTCCATTGTACATACTTTCCTGACTGTTTTTCTAGTTTACAAACTAGAAACTGATGATGGTGGAAAACAYCGAAACGTATTTTAATTGATAAATAGACAATAAATGACTGAAGCCCAGGAATTKATTTTGATTTGGAATTGCTTTTACTTCAAAAATTACTTAGAAAATATTGAAATTAATATATTWACCTTATAGCTTGATAAAAACTTTTTACCCTAAAAACACCTGAGGAATCGCTCTGTGAAATATCGGAAACTTATTACAAAACACTCGGTATACTCGCAGCTTGACTTTTGTGAATATTTCACGCCTAGACTCTTAGATTTTACGCAAAGATTTTTACGCAAAAGGTTTCCTGAAGGCAGGAAGCAGGGGGGATTTTTCTTTAGCTTTTATCACGCTCATTTGTGCAGTGTGGATCAATTCAGAAAACCAACTGCCAACAGTATCCAGAGCTTTACAAAAACAAAAAAAATGCAGACTGTTGCAAAACTGGCCGCTTGACAGCGAAGTTTTGATTACATTTTTGAAAATGCTCCTGTAGTCGTAAAATTTATAACAATATGAAACGCGCATAAATTTATCTTCCTTGTTGAAGGCTCTAAATGGGTGCAATTTTCTAGATTGGATACGTGGTCAATCTATGATGCGTTGCTTATTACAGGCTAGAAAATTTTGGGCAAGTTAACGTGAAGCTGCCGAAGAAGGTGAACGCTGCCGCATCTGAACAACTGATTTCTGCTTGCATACTGAAGACAGTGCAACAATTAATTTCGTGTCAAGTTTCATGGAAAGAAGCTCCAGAACCACGCATAACATATAAGATTTCCAGCTCTTTAATCTGACCAGTATCAAGTCGTCGCTTAAATAAACTATTAACTTTTTACATTGAAGTTTTCCGTTAAAACAAATACTGAACACTCATGTAAGGCCAGGCTATGAGCGAAAATTGAGAAGCTTTGTGATAAATTGTGCATACTTTAAATGCAACTAATGCGACAACAGTACGTGTTGATATGCAGATATTAATCTCATGGCTTTTGGATCTCAATTGAGACATTTAATCGACAAATTCTGAAGTTGCCTGGAATGATTACAGCGACGAATTTATAGTTCCATCAGCATGACCACTTTTTTGTACTTTCGTTTAAGGCATGTTTCATCTTTGTTGATTTAGGCAACAATAAGCTATAGGTATTTAGGAGAAAAACTACCAGCTCTAGTCTTTGCAGGAACATTTCAACCCTGTCTAATCTCAGTGTCTGGTTGATGGTAAAGCAAGCTGGACATTCGAAAACTTCTCATACTCTGGCTGCTGTTTTCTGACAAGAACAATTGCAGACCAATGAAAGTCAGTGAACTGTTTCCTCATAAATCCAATGTTAGATAAATGTCACAGCTAATGCCCAACTAATAACGGGGCTTTACACATCAGGGGCTAATTAAGTAAGTTCGACCTCATCCTGTCCTGGTGCAATTCCCCTTGGTGGCTTGTCTGCAGAATGCGACAGGTCAAGCACATGTTTGATCAGATTAACATGCAAAACGTCATACAGCATGTTGTTCGCTATCAACGTGTGTAGAGTCATAATCGTTTCGAATCGAATCGATGATATAATTATAATCAAGCTATAGCGGAACAATGAATCTATTATTGCCGACCCTAAAATGCATGAATGTGTTTGTTGGTAAATAACAGGAATAATTAACACGGTAACGGTCCAACTACACAATTCCGGGACGGCATGATTTATGATATGATATATGTCTGTTGTCCGGACATGCAAAAACGGATAATTGTTTCTCTGTCTGGGAGCCAGATGCTATTTCGTATTTAAGTAAATTATGATACTGTTCTGATATATTTTGCACAGTTGTTGGATCCGTTCCCAGAAGGGCAACAAAACATGCCCGAAATTAAAAACAAACAGCGTATATTAGGGGCTGGTTTTAATGGATGTTATCTGGGTCGAAATTTGCTGAAAGTCCTCACGTTGTTTCACTCCATTCAGCTATTTGCAATCACAGTCATTAAATTCCCCCAAACAACCATTAAATATCAATTTGGCACCTGCGAAAACTATGCGGAAGTGTTTTCAAAACTGCCGATTTAAACTTAATTATTAATATATCTAAACTCTTTTTAGCAACTAATTTCATTTTATTTTAGTTTTTATTAAGTTTAATTAGTTATACGTCCGGTATCGCACATAGAAAATGTTACTTTCGGAGGATTTTTTATCAAATTAAGTAAAAAATCTTCAAACAAGTGCGGAACTTAGTATTTGCTAGCTGGAATCAACTAATTTTTTTCAAGTTGATGCACCAATATTTTCTGGACATTTTCGAGCCATTTCTAAAACCTTGTAGCATTCATAGTTTTTGCGCAAAAAAATATTTATGTTTCCTTCCTATTTTACAATTTCAGACTTTAACTGCAAATGTCATAAAACGTGATGCTGTCTTATGATAATTTAATTATCAAGCGTTTGTTCATAAGTTAAATTTCGCTTATGAAAAATATTCTTTCAGAACTAAAATTCGCAAATTACGAAGGAAACAATTTTTTTTCTTGTGCAAAAATCAGTTTTGATGACACGAATGCAAAGCATATGATAATGCTAAGCTGGTGGAGTTTTTAGATGATGGAACTCAACGATACACTTTCTAGTACTTGGAGCGCTCATTATTGAGTTTAGTCGCCAAAAATTAATCAAAATAACTGACTCATCTATTAAGTTGCGGCTTTGCCCATAAATAATGCAACCAGAATGTTTAATATTCTGCTGTACAGAAGCAATTTGTTACAAAAAAGAGCGCTGCAATTTCCTGCGAATAAATAAAATTGGATTATATCTGAACGGCCGTAAAATTTTATATAGCTTATGAACAGACCCATATAGATCGAAAATAAACCATAAGCTAGGCAAAGTATGCAATAAAATTCCGTAATTTGAGCGCAAATTCCAGTAGGTATCAAAATAGTATTATCATGCTTATATTGTCTGCTGAAAATGGATATTTCAGAAGGGCTGGATCTAGTTTTAATCCAATTTCATTTAAATATAATCGATCGTTGGATGAATGTCTCCATTATTATTTGGTTTGTTCTTTCAACTGCTCGTCCGCGGTCAATATATATTTTTTACATCCTTATTATCTTTGAATGATTTCTTATAGAACTAGTTTTACATGAGCTCTCTGAAATTGCACTTGTGACATTCAAGAAAAAGAAAACGTCGTAAAGTCATGCATTGAGCACATCGATCTCTCGACTAGAATTCACTTTCAATTTTAAATTTTGTTGATGTTTTACACTAGCTTCAACGATTTTCTTTCTCTTTTGGAATAACTTATTGCAATTTATTAATATTGTGCCGGAATGTTAATGTACTAATCTACCTCTTAGTTCAAAAAGGATCATCATTTTCGCGTTTTTTGCCCGACAAAAATATTACTTCTCTTATAGTTTGCACAACACACTTGCTTTGTGTTCAAATGATCCTAAATGGTACACCAAAGCATATGATAAAGTTGTCAGCAGGAGCAAAGCATTCTCTCCATCAAGAGAAATCGAAAAGTCGGAAAATATTTTAATACCTCATTGAATATGCTCTTTTTGCAATTGAGCCCGACTTTATAAATATTTTCGCGTAATTTAAATAATAAAAGCGTATTCTCTGTTTTTTCTTTGCAGGCCGTTCACGAATTCTCTGGAGTCCGTCTTCCCCTTCAGCCATACACTGGAAGCCATGCCGTTTTTATGTATTCCACAGCTTCGGACGGTAACGTCACGTTGCAGCTCAAAGAGCCCGATGATCTCGACAGGTAAGTGGTGGTTTTATGATTTTATCATGACTCCTCTTAAATTTGCCAGAAAAGTTTAATGGAAGTTTGGATTTTAACGTGCCACGTTTCGGTTTATGGCCTGAGAGTGTCTAATTACAACCATTTGCCAGAAGAGTAATATATTTAACATGGCAAAAAGTTTCTGAAGCATGTCGCTAAAATTAACAATAATCAGCTCACATGCAGGGTGACTCAAAATAAGTATTGGTTGATATTAGTAAAGCAAAATAATGGATGGATCGGGCGATGTTGCTGGTCAACAATTACAAAACTGCCTTAATATTACGTTGTATGTAATATAAAGTTAAGGCGATTAATGTTAATTAGATCACGGAATCAACTAAATAACGAAAGTGCTAAAGTGAGGTTTTACGGTTTTATTATTAGTGATTAGAGCGGAATTTGTCTGGAAACATCCCTATCTGTTTCGTTTTATTTGATCCAGACGCCTTGGTTTTATATCCGATTTAGCAGATGGAGCCGTCAAAATAATATGATCAATTCTCGCTGTAACTCTTCGCTTGACTTTCTGGTCCGGTTAATCGATTTTTCTCAGTCAATATGGTTTTGCTGTCAGCTATTATTTCGGATGTTTATTATTCAGGAATAGCCTGGCGGTCATGCTGGCACGATTACAAGAAGACTCTTCGTTTTCCATCTACACCCAGGACACGGATATTCTGTCGGATGGAGGTATCGACGTTCTGCTCGGTCCGGGCAGCTCTGGAGAAAATTCCGGTAAGTACCATTTGAAAATGCCAATTTACATGCGAGAAGGTCAGTAGATGGATTTTAAATCCAGAAGTTCTTTGCAGCAAGTCAAAATGTCGCTTATCTCGGTTTTGTAAGCCACTTTTTGAATACTGGCTGATTTCTGCATCAGAAAGTAACCCTTAACGGCGCATTGTATCGCCTTATAATAAAAAAATCAAATATTAGGAAGGTTATTATGTCTGGAACTATGATAAAAGCAATCCAAATGGGAAATGCATTGTCGATGTACTAAAAGCAGACAGTTTGAACAGCGGGATTTTGACTAAAATATTCGACTAGTCGTAAACTGCTTCTTTTGTATTCGACATAATCAATTTCTACTCAGGTTTAGGCAGTAGTAAGTAGCTGCACACTCCAGTTCTGATCAATGAAAGGCAGCAAATTTGTCAACTCCTTTTAAGGCTTTACTCCATTGAGATCAATAAATTCTTTTGTTATTGCTGGTCTGCAAAGCAGTGGGAAACTTTAAAAGCTTCAATAGACCCTTAACGGTTCATATATTTTATCAAAGTTTTTTGTTTCTCGTTGAAAAACTCTCGTTTTTATGTGATTTGTGCCCACTATTTCGTGTGATTTCAGAAACACGTTATTAAAAAGGGGAAAATTCCAATATCACCGGATCTGAACCCACTAGAGAGCTTGCAAAGGCTCCTTGTCACTATTGCTTCAATTGCATTAAAAACTTGCAAACTGAAAAAAATTTGTATAAAATGTGGTCCTAACCGTATTTGAAACTTTATATATTTATTTGCTTATATCCAGTCCCTATCTGCAGATCACGTGACTATAACACCATAATGTACTGGAATTCGTACCTTTCATACAGCAGATCAATACTTAGAAGAGATAATTATGAAATGCGTACTAGTTTCTTTCAAAATTGTTTATAGTCGTAGATAAGTTCTATATTGTTGAGGCGGATTCATTTTTTTACAGACTTCTTGTTGGGTATTTCGCCTCAAAAATTTTTGTCTTTAAAAAAGACAGAATTTCCTCACGTCTTTTATTACAGACTTTTATTACAGATACTGCAGTATATGAAAATTCGATCTGATAATTCGTCTGTGCAAATTGTCAGTTATGTGAGTTTGACTTAATCTCATGTTTAAATTAATAAAGGTAATGTTAATTAATAATTTTGGTGTATGTTTCTTTGGTCTACTTCAGATTTTAGCATAGGTAACCATGTATGACTTAAATTAAATGAACATGAAGCAACACAATTATTTTGATTTAGTAAAATTAGCGGGCTTTTTTTAATTTAACGTTTTTTTGTAGATTGTTCTTTTGTTAAAATTGTAGAATTATTCCATTGAATTTTATAGCAATTATCAAATGCATGTTCACTATACACCTTAGGTACGCCATTTTCACTTAATATAGATTCTTTACAACGATCGAGGAATTCAAATTTGCTATCACCTGCTTCTAGTTCTTATCGGGCCCAGCTGTAACCACTACTTGGCTGGAGCCATTTAAAATACCGATTTTTTTCAGATTTCAAATAATCGCCTTTTTGTTGGCAATATCGGGTTCTCCAATCGTTTCTCTACAAAAAAATGTGTACTTGGATCAAGTCGATAGCTCTCACCGTAGATACTTCTAAATAAAAGAAGTTTTTGATCAAAGTTTGAATAAAACCAAATTTAAGAAACATCATATTCATTAGGCACTTTAAGAACTACTTTAAACCAAATTTTTAAACTCTGTAAAGTCTTTGACAACTATTATTTCTTAATAATTGTTCAAACTTAATTTTTCTGACTTTCTTTAGGAAATATCGGCGAACGAGACATTGCCAACAGACAAGCGATATTTGAATACCCAAAAAAATGTTTGATGTAAATGACTCGAGTCTATAGGCTGAACTTTACGTGAATTGAATCTTTACGTTCGCCTTCACTCTTTATCTTGATTACTTTAGCCAGTGGAAAACAACTGACGATATTAAATGTGCTGTTAGAGCTTCGTTTAAACGAGTTTTTCAGCATGTGCCACCGGCAGTGCTTTTTTATTTGTTTGCGTTACTGTTTCTTATTCATTACTATATTCATGAATTTATTTGTTTATTTAATGTTCTAATTGTGTTTCAGTTAATATCATCACATCGTGTATTGCTATAACTTTATGATTCAGTTTTGCGAATCACATTTCAAGGCATCCCAATACACAAGACGTGAAATGTTGACTGTTTTATGACACTAGTGTACGTCGTTTATGGGCGTCATTTTACTCACATATGTTTCCGTGATAATTACGTCGATAGGACGTGAGAAAATTGATTAGTTAGACGTGAATGACTGCGGCTTTTTCACGTAAATATCACGTCGATTGGTGCTGACTCAGCTTGTTTTTACATCATATTCAGATCTTAGGACTACAGAAAACAGTATTTTATTTGCAAACGAATTACGGAAAACACAAGTTGCACTGGTAAAATAAAATCACATTTTCATGTAATTTAAGAACCTCAGGAAAGTATCTCGGAAGTAAACTCGCTTTATTCAGAGTAATACGAATTTGCAATTGCGTTTTCTATGTGTGATCACACATCGTACTGTTCCAACCCTTGCCTAGGTGTGATTTTTCCGACCAATCTATAAATTTTAAAGTAAAAATCGATTTGAGATGATTTCAGGGAAAAACGATGCAAAATTTATCAAGCAGCCATTATTGAATTAGACGAGTAGATATTTTCCGACAAGAGCAGCATAACGCACAACTCTGAGCACCCATTTCAATTCCCGCTCTTTATACTTGCAAATGTACATTCGTCGGAATCCAATTCTACAAGCGGACGGAAGACACGTCCATTCCAAAAACTGAAAACTAAATCCTTTCGTATGCGGGCTCGTTTCGTTTAAGTTAAAGAAGCACGATTCTGGCATTCTGGAAACTTTGAGCGCTCCTAACTGAAAGTTAAATGTTCTGAGGTAAAAAGCGAGAGCAAAGCAGCAATTTTAAGTTGTTATGATCGCTTCGTTACGTCCCGGTTTCATGTGGGAAACGTTTTCAAAGCCGACTTCTTTGTGACTGAGGTAATTGCGGAAACAATTAACGTGGCCTGCAGATTAGGCTTTTGTTCCAAACGAAATGTTTGCGTTTTTGCTGCTCATGTCAGATTTTACACTTGAGATAATTAATTGCTCAGTTCAACCAGCTGGTGGTGAAGAGATGAAAATACTGCTCATATTTTTGAAACTTTTCTTTAAGGCGCACAAATGAAAATATACAGGGTATCCACAATCCCGTGCCAACAAATAAATAGAGTATTAAGGCTTGAACAACGTGTTTGCCTCATGTTCAGAGTATTTAATGAAAATTGATAAAGTGCTCTGTTTGGTTTAACGTGCCAGCTGTTTTGCCATAAATCAAGTCATTTATATTAAAATAAAATGTATCTGTAATGTGGAATAGACCGCAATGAGGTTGAAAATATATTTACAGCTATTCTCATTTTGAGCGCTCTTGCATCGACTTGACAAAGAAGCTTAGGACGAATCCTCAAATTTTTCACAAACTAATGCTTCTATCTAATAAAAAGAACCTGTGTGGATGCAACAAAATAGTTTACTGGCAGTTTCTTTCAATTAAATAGTTTTCGTACAGTTGTAGATGTTACTAATTAAAACTAATGAGTTTTTCGAGCTTTTAGGCCGCCTAAAAATCCGAAAAGATTACTAGTTTGAAATAGTAGCGATGAAAGCTACACGCTTTTGCTTCGAATTGTGCTCTATTAGGGATAGCTTTGAATAAATTTGGAAAGTTATAAAAATTTATTGCACATTATCAAATTTCCGTAAAATATTGAATTTTGCAAAGTTTCAGGTCTTTGCACAACTTTACATAGTTGAGAGGTGATTTGATCATTTAAGTTTATAAAAAATTAAGAAAAAATCACAGTACCAAGCGACAAAACCGTGTTTCCATTGTCAGGAGAAAACGATGAAAGTCATGGACTAATTCCTATTAACAAACACAAACATCCATCGATGTTCCCAAAAACGGCATATTCTTCAATATTATGAAATTGATCTGAAACCAGGAATTCAAACAAAGTAATTTTCAAAAATGTTCGAACTTTTTCTTTACCGCCTGTTTTTCAGTTGAAAAACTTTGTGTCTTATTAAGAACATTCCCAGGAAAAATGAAATGCCTTATTATTACAGTTAATGACAGCAAAATTAAATTTTTCTTTAAACAATTTTTTTCAATAACTTTAAACAAGAGTAAAGGTAAATATTTAACATGTCGAGCTTTTGTTACTATCTGCACCTATTTTAGCATTAAATCTGATATAAATTAACATCGGCACAGCACTAGTGATTTCAATGGAAGGAAAATATTTCGAATTTACCCATTAAACTTATTAAAAGTTATTTAAATTAAATTAATTTTAATGTAATTAGAGGTGGCTTGTTTTGATATCATTGTATTAATCCATTATCAACATTTCCACCTTTCGAAAAGCTATTTTGTTTAGTTTTAACAATTTTTGTTATACATTCAAAATTTCAATTTGTATACAAAACTTTTCAGTTCATCAAAATCATCAGCCTAATGTTTTCCGTGAACATTTAATTAAAGCATTTTAAATTTGAAAGAAGCGGCCAAAACAGAAAACCCGTTTTATTATATTTATCTATTTTGACAAGCCGGACATAAAACCATCTAAGATATAGTTTTCTAACCTGTTTCCCAGTACATACTTGCAGGCTTTCAATAAAATTTTACAGTATATTATTTTTCCACAAAGAACGAAAACAATTTCCACACTAGCACAAACATAAGGTTCAGTTTACCAAAGCCTGTAATGAAAAGCTTCGTTATTTTAGACAAAGCGTGATCTCCAACTAAATTGCGGGATCAGTGTCTGATCTATTTTCTTATTTGAAACATTATTTTCAACCTCTACAAGGAAATATTAGACAATAAACGGTTTAATGGAAAAGCTTTTCAATGTT